GATTATATAATATATATATGTATATACTTTTTAATATATCTCTCTAATATGTATATTATACATTATTTTCTAACAGCATCGTCCCGTTTGTTTAATTAGAGCTTCCATCACACTGACCTGTTATTCGCAAAATTTACATTAACCGAAGATATCACACTCAATTATAATAGCTCTCACATTTGCAATGATAATCCGGCTAATCTTGGCTAAACGAGCGTCGTCTTCTTATGTTAATATTATCAGAGCAAATCACCAGTTATGCTTTATCTTATTACAGAATTAATATCTGTGAAATTAATGTAAACTTTGAACACAACACAGATCAGTGCAAGGACCATCTATTATATACGAGACATAATATGCAACGCTGCAAGATTGACGACGAATTGACGATTGAATCAACGAAATTCGAATTTATCATAGCTAAAAGTAAACAAAAATACATCATTCTAATAACAGTTAAATCAAGCACATAGCTATGCCGATGTGCCGCTTGTACAATTTAAAATTCGTATATTTTTTACGATAAAATGATTTTTCTTGCCGATTATATCGTCGACTTTGCAGCGTCCTTATATGTGATACTTGCGTACTGCAAGCGCAATGTAATCCTCCAGAGAAGAGAGAGAACATTATATATCATGCGACTAGCATATTGCCGTACAATTGCAACAATCGTAGGAGGAGATTCGTTATCTACATAATGCGATATAAGCAATTAATGGCAAACATTCTTTATACAAGTGGGTACGCGAAGAAGGGTATCATATATCTATTTAAAGAGCTGTACATGTAACTGCACATTGTACGGGCCTTGTGACTAGTTTGTAAAATTTGAAGTATATATTGTACAACGTGCCCGAAGCACAAACTCGCGGCGCAAAATTGTGAACTATGAAAAATATTGCGAACATTGCAAGTATTGCGAACGTAAAATCGTTTACTTCGTCAAGTGTTCCATCAATCCCACAGATTGATCGAAGAAGCAATCATTTCACGCGTACTGATGTAAAAATCAAATTTTGCAACAACATAAAAGCAGCTGTACCTAATAAAATCTTGATCCAGGGAAAAACTCTGTTTCCTCAATTTGATTTTATGTGATTTGGCGTTATGCTGAAAGAAATTTCTTTGTCTTGCGTTGGCATTGCTTGAGCACTGAGAAATATGGTAAAATAATAGAGAAGTTTTTTTTCCATTTTATAAACATGATCGCCACGAGCGAACGTTATATTTCTCGGTACGTCAAACAATATTATATCTAAATTTTTTTATTATTGTAACAGTAAATTAGTTAATTCAATAATTATTCTATATATTATTGTTATATATGTGCATGTGTATATGTAATACAGATAACTGCGGTGAAAACCTCTGCAAATATCGATTACGTTTATATCTATTTATATATTTACTAATAGCCTGGCATCTATTATTTCGACGTATAGAATGATAAAAATCGTATAGATGAATCATATAAAGATGAGAAATCGTGACAAATTCATTGGTAAATACAAATTGCAGTACGCGAAGATATTCTTTCTTCACTTCAAAATTTGTAGATAATAGAAGGAAATTGTGCATTGTAACGATTCGGATTAACGTAATTAGAATTACGCTGATTTAATTTCGGAATTACTGCTTCGAATATAATCTCGATTCTATTACCGCTTTTATCGATTACGCACATTGTGCGCTATTGCTTAAGACTCTGGATTAAACGATGGAGCGTGATTGCGAAGTGAAGTATTCACATAAACGTCTCTATTCTGATTTTAATTTCGTAGAAAAAGCAGAGCTGGAAGTTTGTTAGTTTGGACGTTAAACTCTCTCATTAAGAGAGAGAGAAATCTATAAAGTATTTTATAGTTTATATTTTATAGTTGCTTCATGAATATATAATTTATAATTGTTTACATAATATGTTTTTAAACATATGCATATAAACTATTTAAACTAGTAAAAAAGCATTGTCATTTTAAAAATTTCATAAAAAATTAACTGATTTTTATTAAAACTCGTTCTAAAATATTTTAAAGACAGATATGTAGAATTATCAAGTAAATAAATGAAAAATATAGCATCTTTACATATTTATTCTCTTATAGGTTAAAATATTTATCTTTGGATAATTTAGATAAATAATTAGATATACCTGGAAATAAAAAACTCGATTATTGAATAAATAGTTAACATAAAAAATAACAAGAAATAATAAAATAAAATTTCGTTATCTTTTAGTTTGATTTAACTAAACACATTTTAATATTAATATTTTCTTTCCTTCTTCTATAATATGTAGCGATACAAATAGAATTTTATAAAGAAAACAATATTGAAACAGTTGAAATATTTTTCATAAAATTAAAGTGTAGCAAAACATATATCAGGCATTGGACATTGCTCGTTTTTAAATTCTAGAAACTATCAATCAATAAACGATTTCCGGAAAAATGCTGTTCACAGTGGTTTTACTGTAAACGAATTCAATTTATAAATTTTTATCCAATTCCACTCGTTTGCTTTGCAAAATAAAAATAAAAAACCGCACCGACAGATCCATCAATTTATTGACATAGGTGATATTAAATAAACTAAATCGCCCAGTACGCCATAACTCGAAAAGAAAGAGAGATAAAAATTCATAAATTGTATGTGGACTGGTATTTGTAATTAGCCCAAAACGCTCATAAATCATGGAAAGGAAAGTTCTTTGCCTCTGTCGTTTGCCTCGAGAATTCTACGTTCTCCAAGAACTTGCTCCCTCGGATGGAACCTGCGCGCTAATTACTGAAACTTCAAATATGACCGGACACTGAACTATAGTAGAATTTGTCGTTGAATATATTCAACTATTCGAGAATATTGCGTTTAAGCTGGCGCACATAAACCGTCAGATATCAGTTCTCATTCCCTTCGTATATTAATATTAACGAAGATTAGCAATGAAACTATGTTCAAGTTCAAAGTTAAATTATTTCAGAAATTTAAAGCGTGAACATCTTTGTTTGCTCTAAAAAATTAAAAGACAAGTCGATTAAAAAATATACTCCTATTTTATGCAAGAATATAATAATAAACAATATAAAAATTAAATATCTAATTGATTATCTAAGAAAGTACGCATTTAGAATATTATCAAATTTTTTAATTAATCTACAAGACCATTCTAATTATTAATTTTAAAAAAGGAGTAAACAAAAATCTATATTAACTTTATCAGAAAATACATCTCTATCAATGAGTTATAATTTTTTAGGCTTATTGCACATGTATGTATACATACATGTATATAAATATAATATAAGTAATTAGGCATAATGTCAAAATAGCTATCAAAAGAAATATTGCATATACGATTGTTTTTCATGACGTTATTCCTACATAAAGGTCGCTAAATGAATTCTGGCTAATTTCAAATAAATTTGGAAATTTAATAAAAAATGAAAATTTTCAAGTTTCACGAGATATATTCAAAAATAATTTTAAAGCTTTCGTAGAAGTTTATATTCTTGTTTCCTTCATTGCCGATTACACGGCACAAAAATTTTTCTGATAGCGGATTATCCTAAACGTAATGCAAAGTGGACACTATTAACCGCCTGTCATCCTGCAAACTTCTTGTAAACTTCGTGGTCTACCTTAGATGAAATTACGCGGGAAACTATATACGAACTGCAAACTATTGAGAAACTAATCGTATATCCCTCTGTTCATTATCCAAAACTTTCCTAATCGCGAAACGGATAATAGGCAAAGACTTCGTACGTTGCGTGAGTTCTTTAAAGTAATAATCGTACAATTCTTTATAAAATGTGAAATGTCATTTCACTATAAAAGTGTGTCAAATTTGAATCATCTAATCGAATTAATTGTTCTTTTCCTTTATAAATAATTATCTGTAATAATCTACATACATAACGCAAATTAATTGTTTATCGTTGCAAACTCTATTATCAAAGTATGACTTATTAGACTAGAAGATTGTATTTAAGAGAAACTATAAGAGAGAGAAACTATTTAATCGATTGGTAGATCACTTCATGCGTGGAATTATGTCTTTGGGTTATAATCAATAATAATATCTGAAATATATAGTGCTGATGTGACTGAAGATAAAGTTACATAATTCAGAGATTATTTAAAGAAGTTTCATCGAATAAAACTAAAGTTTACAAAAATAAGATATTAAAGAAATTGTTTGTAAATAATTTCTTTCTTTAAATTTAAATCAATGAATAATAAAAAATAAATTTATTAAATATTTATCATGTTTATACTCATTATTAATTATATATATATGTAAATCTTTAAATATATATTTTACTTTAAATATATACATATAATATCACATACTTATCGTCTTGAAAAAAATCTAATAGCACTGATATTATAGAAATTTGCATACTTCCGAGAAGTAATCATTACGTAATCAATATAGTAAAGCGTACTGGGGAAAAAGCCTAACATGCATAATTACTGTGACTACAAAAACTACCTACCATAATTATTACCAACTGCGATAAGAACTACCTACTCTATAAGGCCTAAGTTCGTCAGCAACTTCGCTATCTCAGTAATTAATTCAATGGTGTCGTTGGAAGAAGGCATAAATTTTTGCTCCGGGAAAGATCTACCATTACGTCTAGAAGCAGTTCGATGTGCTTCTGGCAATTCTGTAAATACACGATTTAACCGTGCGGGCTACATGAAATCGAGATCGATCGAAGAGTTTAAGACTTTCGCGATCGTAGAGCCGATAGTGGGTTTAAACGACGTCTAGGCGTGCTCTCGGTGGATGAGGAAGCGCTCTTAGATTTGGAAGTTTTTGACGCCTTAGGCGTCTTCTCTTTGCTCGTGGCCGCAGAGGTTTTCACCGGTTTCCCGGATTTATTCACACCGCCTCCAGAGCTCGCGCCCGTGGAGGCCGTGGAAGATGTGGGCTTACTAGACGCGATAGTGTTTTGGGAAAGGGTTTGGGTGTTGGGTCTTACTTGTACCTCGCAGGGGGGCGGCGCGCTCCTGTACGACGGCACGATCTTGAAAGTCACCGATCCACGTGCCTCCCGCTGTAACAGTCGAAGAGAATCGGACTCTTCAGAAACTACGGCTACGAGTAAGCCGATACTCATTCGCATAAAATTTTCCGTACAATAATGCAGTGTACAAATTTATAATCCAATATTGAAATCATATTCTACTTCGAAGTATAGTTTATTAAATTTTGTAAATACTTGTTTGAGAAAGTTATGATATATTCCATCAAGTAATCTCTTTGATAACGTAAGATTAAGAACTTCTTGAAACAAGTTCCCAGATTCCACTCGCAGTTACGAGAATAACTTTATAATACTCACCAGAATCTTTTGCAAGGCATTAACGGATTGATTCTGAACTGGTATACCGTTGATCTCTCTAATCTCATCACCGACGTGAAGAGTGGCTTGTCTATGGATCATCCCACCGTGCATAATCCGCGCTACGAAGCATTGCCCATCCTCATTCATTTTCAATGTGATTCCCTGAAAAACAGATAATGTAAAGTAAATTAAGAGTAGTAAATGTAATATTTTATCGATAATAACAAGTTAAACATTGCATTATGATCGCGTATTTCAAACATGGCGCATGTCCGTAATTAAACCGTGTGAATAATAAATAATAACGCCGTAAATCAAAAATCAAAATTGTCATAATAATAAAGTTATTTTACAACGCACATAAAAATTTAATATTTATTATTATCCAAAATATAATCCTGCAAATCTTTATTAAATGTTTTATTAAAAATTTCAAAGAATATTAAGATGATATTAAATTAACTCTTTTGCCAAATTTTTAATTGCTCAACATAATGTCTAAACAATATCTTTCACCATATATGTATATCTACATACATATTTTTATGATTTCATTAAAAAGTCATTTTTTCACATATATTTTTTAAGAATTTATTAAAAATATATATACTTTTTTTCTCTCGTTTTAAACAAAAATCATGCCGTAGGAAGCTTTTTATACCTCATTTCAAAAACGTCGTTTCACATTGCCGAAACACATGTATGTATTTGCCTTGTTACTCACCATCGGCTCATCCGTGTTCTTCTGGAACTGCACCAGTCTGACGCGAGTAATTTTTTCATCTAAATCGCCGTTTTGTCCTTCGAGATCGTCGCCGCCATTCAGATACGTGAGAAGTGGCGGTGGCGTTACCCTGGTGGCTTCCTCGCCGTAGACCTCGTGACCGGCAACGTCGTGAGCTTGTAGAAGTGCCTGGAACAAAAAGCAAGGCAAAATTGCAAATTAAACTCTTAACGTCTTCTTTCTTGCATATTACAAGATTGACTCGCCATTTCTAAAAAAAAAAAAGAAGAGTTTTCCTTTTCCCTGTTTATCATAAAACTACGTAACATAATAAGTTCTTATTATATTATAGCATAGCTGTATTACCATAACTAATAAGTATGCTGTGCTTCAGTCGTATGCAAATACGTTTTATTCGGAAGAGTTATGTATTCGTTAGTCGTAGATCTACCTTTGCGGTATTGTTTTACAAATGCAATTGTATAAAAAGGAAATATGCAATCAAATTTTGATTGCTGATTGTCCTTTCTGCAGAACGTAATCTAAACTGTATAAATATTTAATCTTATTATCGACGAATACA